AAAAAAAAGAGGAGTGTGTGTGTTTTTTTTTTTTTTAAACAAGTCGGCTGTCTCCCACCGAGGTAGGGTGACCCAAAGAGAAAATCCCCAAAAAGAAAATACTTTCATCATCATTCAACACTTTCACCTCACTCATACATAATCACTGTTTTTGCAGAGGTGCTCAGAACACAACAGTTTAGAGGCATATACGTAGAAAGATACACAACATATCCCTCCAAACTGCCAATATCCCGAACCCCTCCTTTAGAGTGCTTGTACATGTATGTGTAGTGTGACCTAAGTGTAAGAAGTAGTAGCAAGACGTACCTGAAATCTTGCATGTTTATGAGACAGAAAAATGACACCAGGAATCCTACCATCATGTAAAACAATTACAGGTTTCCACTTTACACTCACTTGGCAGGATAATAGTACCTCCCTGGGCGGCTCCTGTGTACCAACCTACTACCTAGGTTATTTCTACTTATCTTAATTCCATTTTCTCTCTCTCCACAACAAGATCTATTATGACCCCTTTCACAGTGATGTTATACATTTTTTTTTTTTTTAACAAGACAGCCGTCTCCCACCGAGGCAGGGTGACCCAAAAAGAAAGAAAATCCCCCCCCAAAAAAGAAAATACTTTCATCATTATTCAACACTTTCACCTCACACATAATCACTGTCTTTGCAGAGGCACTCAGATACGGCAGTTTAGAAGCCCCTCCAAACTATCAATATCCCAAACTCCTCCTTTAAAGTGCAGGCATTGTACTTCCCATTTCCAGGACTCATGTCTGGCTAACTGGTTTCCTTAAATCCTTCCACTAAATAGTATCTTGCTCACACTCCAACAGCTTGTCAGGTCCCAAAAACCATTCGTCTCCTTTCACTCCTATCAAACACACACACACACACACCCACACCCACGCTTGCTGACCCCTACCCTTCATTCCTTCCCCTACAGATTTATATACTCTACAAGTCATTCTACTTTGATCCACTCTCTCAAAATGACCAAACCACCTCAACAACCCCTCTTCAGCAGTCTGACTAATACTTTTAGTATCTCCACACCTCCTAATTTCCACACTCTGAATTCTCTGCATAATACTTACACCACACATTGCCCTTAGACAGGACATCTCCACTGCCTCCAGCTGCCTCCTTGCTGCAGCATTTACAACCCAAGCTTCACAACCATATAAGAGTGTTAGTACCACAATACTTTTGTACATTCCCTTTTTGCCTTCAGAGATGACATTTTTTGTCTCCAAAGATACCTCAATGCACCACTCACTTTTTTTTCTAAATCAATTCTATGGTTAACCTCATCCTTCATAAACCCATGCACTGACAAGTCAACTCCCAAATATCTGAAAACATTCACCTGTTCCATACTCCCTCTCTCCAATGTGATATCCAATTTCTCTATCTAAATCGTTCGATACCCTCATCACCTTACTCTTATCTATGTTCAATTTCAAATTTCTACCTTTAAGCACCCTCCCAAACTCGTCCACTAACCTTCGTAACTTTTCTTTAGAATCTCCCATAAGCACAGTATCATCAGCAAAGAGGAACTGTGCCAACTCCCATTTTGTATTTGATTCCCCATAATTTAATCCCAACACTCTAGCATTTACTTATTTTACAACCCCATCTATAAATATATTAAACAACCATGGTGACATCCCTGTGTAAAACCTACTTTTTTCGGGAAGTAGTCTCCTCCTCTCCTACATACCCTAACCTGAGCCTCACAATCCTCATAAGAACTCTTTACAGCATTTAGTAACTTACTACCTATTCCCATACACTTGCAACATCTGCCTCATTGCTCCCCCTATCCACTGTATCATATGCCTTTTCTAAATCCATAAATGCAATGAAAACTTCCCTACCTTTATCTAAAAACTGTTCACATATATGCTTCAAAGTAAACACTTGATCTACACATTCCCTACCCACTCTAAAGCCTCCTTGCTCATCTGCAATCCTACTCTCTGTCTTACCTCTAATTCTTTCAATAATAACCCTACAGTACACTTTACTTGGTATACTCAATGAACTTATTCCCCTATAATTTTTACAATCTCTTTTGTCCCCCCTTCCTTATATATAAAAGGGACTATACATGCTCTCTGCCAATTCCTAGGTACCTTCCCCTCTTTCATACATTCATTAAACAAAAATACCAACTACTCTTATAAGTAGTACATTGGTAGACAGCAACCACCCAGGGAGGCAGTAGCGTCCTGCCAAATGAGTGTAAAACGAAAGCCTGTAATTATTTTACATGATGGTAGGATTCCTGGTGTCTTTTGTCTGTTTCATAAATATGCAAGATTACAGGTACATCTTGCTACTTCTACTTACACTTAGGTCACACTACACATACATATACTACAAGCATATATGTACACACTCCTCAGGGTTTTCTGCTATTTTCTTTCTAATTCTTGTTCTTGTTTATTTCCTCTTATCTCCATGGGGAATTGGAACAGAATTCTTCCTCCGTAAGCCATGCGTGTTGTAAGAGGCGACTAAAATGCTGGGGGCAAGGTGCTAGTAACCCCTTCTCTTGTATAAATTACTAAATTTACAAAGAGAAACTTTTGTTTTTCTTTTTGGGCCACCCTGCCTTGGTGGGATACGGCCGGTTTGTTGAAAAAGAAAAAAAATACTCCAACACAATATCCCCCTCTGCTTTTAACATTTCTGTCATGATCTCGTCAGTTCCAGCTGCTTTAACCCCTTTCATTCTACGTAATGCCTCGCACACCTCCCCACACTCCCATCCTGCTCTTCTTCACTCCTAAAAGATGTTATACCTCCCTGACCAGTGAATGAAATTACTGCCTCTCTTTCTTCATCGACATTCAGCAAAATTTCTTGCCAGTGCCTCTCCCACTCTTTCATCTGCTCTCCTTCTGCACTCTCTTCACCTTTCTTTTACTCTTCATATACTCTTCTCTTCTTACAACACTTCTGCTTTGTAAAAACCTCTCATAAGCTACCTTCTTCTGTTTTATCACACCCTATACTTTATCATTCCACCAATCACTCCTCTTCCTGCACCCACCCTCCTATAGCCACAAACTTTTGCCCCACATTCTAATACTGCATTTTTAAAACTATGCCAACCCTCTTCAACCCCCCCACAACTCATACTTGCACTAGACCACCTTTCTGCCAATAGTTGCTTATATTTCACCCTAACCTCCTCCTTCCTTAGCTTACACACTTTCACCTCTCTCTCTTACTTGCTGCTGCCATGTTCCTTATGTCCCATCTACCTCTTACTCTAACTGTAGCTACAACTATATAATGATCCGATATATCCGTTGCCCCCTTTATGAACGTGTACATCCTGAAGCATACCCATCAACCTTTTATCCACCAATACATAATCTAACAAACTACTTTCATTACGTGCTATATCATACAGTGGACCCTCGGTTATTGGCCCTTCCTGTTATCAGCCAACTCGGTTATGGGCTAGTTTTTCAGCTTCCGGTTATCTTCCATTATTTCACTTATTGGCTGTATGGGATGTGTACACCTGCCCGCCAGCAGCCGCTGCAGTCAGTCTGGCTGTGTCTCTAGGCGAGTGAGGAAGCTTCTGCTCTTTCATCCAAACATTTAGCTATAATCAGTTGTTTATGGTGGCTATTTATCAAGTGCAACTGTGAAATAAGTCACCACGGCCCCAAAGAAAGTTCTTAGTAAAGTTACTTTAGTAAAGAAAGTGAGAAACACAATAGAATTCAAGGCAGGCAGGCAGGCATAGAAGCAGGGAGTGTAGCAGGCACGCAGGGAGTGTAACAGGCACGCAGGGAGTGTAGCAGGCACGCAGGGAGTGTAGCAGGCACGAAGGGAGTGTAACAGGCACGCAGGGAGTGTAGCAGGCACGCAGGGAGTGTAGCAGGCATGCAGGGAGTGTAGCAGGCACGCAGGGAGTGTAGCAGGCACGCAGGGAGTGTAGCAGGCATGCAGGGAGTGTAGCAGGCACGCAGGGCGTGTAGCAGGCACTCAGGGAGTGTAGCAGGCACGCAGGGAGTGTAGCAGGCACGCAGGGAGTGTAGCAGGCACGCAGGGAGTGTAGCAGGCATGAAGGAAGTGTAGCAGACATGCAGGAAGTGTAGCAGGCACTCGAGAAGCCAGCATTAGTCTTCAATAATTTAATTGTTAAAAAAAAATTTTTTTGTGAATATTTTTGTCTGGAATGGATTAATTGTACTTACATTAATTCTCATGGGAAATATTATTTCGGTTTTAGGCTGAGGTTCAGGAACAGATTACGGCTGATATCCGAGGGCCCACCATACCTTGTATACTTATTTATCCTCCTTTTCATAAAATATGCATTACTCATTACTAAACTTTTTTCTAAACAGAGCTCAATTATAGGCTCCCCATTTTCATTTACCCCTGGCACCCCAAATTTACCTACTACTCCCTCCACATTTTTACCCACTTTAGCGTTGAGATCCCCAACCACAAGTACTCTCTCACTTAGTTCAAAACTCTCCATACACTCACTCAACATTTCCCAATATCTCTCTCTCTCCTCTCTACATTTCTCTCTTCTCCAGGTGCATAAACACTTACTATAACCCACTTTTCACATCCAACCCTTATTTTACATCACATAATCCATGCCTTTATACATTTATATTCCCCCTTTTCCTACCATAATTGATCCTTCAACATTATTGCAATTTGCAGATGACTTCAGGTTTCAAATGTGGGAGGATAAAATTATGGTGTGTATATTCTTCTATATAGCTCTTCATCCAACTTAAAAATTATATTAAAAAGAACAGCTACTGCATTTCCACATTCGAGCATATATTAACTCTTAAACTGTCCAAATGTAGATCTATGTTCACTTTTTTTTTTTACGTAAAGCATGTAATAGAAAAAAAAATGTAGATCAACGTTCGGAGCGCCCCACACGTGAACGTAGGTCTACGTTTGGACAGTTTAAGAGTTAAAAATAAGAGCCAGCTTACCTTTGTAAGTATTGGCTGGTAGAACTGTCGGCGGGAGTTTGGTCTTGGGAGATAAAGTGGAGAGGCGCCAGTAGGAGGCAGGAATGGTGATTCCCGATATAAATCAGAAGCTAATGTGTTCCAGTACTCTAAGCAAATTTTGAATATTTCGGTATCATCGACTTCAGATATTAATATCAGGTACTGCAAAGCCTGAAAAAAAAAAATTACTTGTACAAACTGTGACAAATTTCTAATATTCATGCATGGTAGGAAATCATATCTCAGAACTTTCAATGTCTGTCAAGACTGAAAAACGTTGCAGCTTCTTGCATGGCTAACTAAATTCTAACCTCAATAATAATTTTAGGCAATAACAACTGTAAGAGGGCTGAGAAAAGAACAGAGGTGGTGGTAGTGGAGACTGATGAAGATCAAGATTGGTTAACCTCTATCACCCACAGCAGATGCAGAGGAACAGAATAAAGGTAGTGACTTGTATTGAAAGATTCTTTGCCTACACCCACAATGCAGCAGCATATAGGGGTCTGGTTGTTTTAAGCCAATAAGAGATTAAAACATATACATATACCCTGCCTCGGTGGGAGACGGCCGACTTGTTAAAAAAAAAAAAATATAGAAAAGGAGATCTTTTATTATTAGGATGTTTCACTAATAAGTAAACTCTTGTAGGTGAAATGTAATTAAGGCTCCCTTTTGTTACTTGCATCTTACGGTCATTTAGTTTATTACATCTATTTCTAATTTTCTATACAATTCTTTATTCACATTAGAAGAAAATGTTCATACTTTCACTTGTGATAGCAAACCATCAAATAAATTTCAAGTGTAGAAAAAATTAAAACAGATATTTAAATTCCTCGTCTGGTCACCTTTTCAAGATGGGATTTCTATTGGAAACAAGGCAAAAAATAAATGTTAAGTGTTAAGTAATCTGTGGAGGCAAAACTTTTATCAATGCAGGCAAAAAGAGGAATGTACTAGAGAAAAGTGGCACCAACAATGTTGTATGGTTATTAAACATGGGCTTTGAATGTTGTACTGAAGAGGAGGCTGGGGGAAGTAGAGCTGTTGTGTTCAAAAGGCAATAAGTGGTGTGAATATTATGCAGAGAATCTAGAGTTTAAAGATTAGGAGGTGCACAGTAACAAAACTATTATTCAATGGGTTGAGGAGGGGCTGTTGAAGTGGTTTGTACACCCAAAAATGATGGAGAAAAATAGGATGACTAAGAAGGTGTAAAAATCTGGGGTGGAGGGGAGGAGGAGGGGGGAGGGAGGGTCATCCTAAGAAAGGATGGAGGGAAGGAATAAAGGAAGTTTTGAGTGTTAGGGGATTGCGAGAGAATGTTAGATAGGAGTGAGTGGAGGCAAGTGTTTTTTATGATTTGACATGCTGTTGGAATGCAAGCAAATTAACATTTATAAAAGGATTCAAGGAAACTGGTTATCCAGACTTGAGTCCAGGAGATGGGAAGGGCAGTGCCTGTACTTTGAAGGAGGGGTGGGGATGCTGTAATTAGAGGATTATCTGAACTGTGATATCAGATTTCAGCACAATTCTAGAGAGAGAGCAACTGCACAGTGAATGTTTTCATCTTTAGGTCACCCTGGTTTGGTAGGAGATGATGGCCTTTGTGAGGAATAAAAGATTATTAAATTCATTGGTGGGGGTGGGGGTAGGAAGTCTAAAACCTACAGGGGTCATACAGTAGGGGGTGGGAAGTCTAAAACCTACAGGGGTCATACAATATAGAGAAATGGGAGATACAGGGAAGCACAGGTCCAATCCCAGCTCCTCACCAGCATCAAAGAACCTTCCTTGCAGGGAAGGATGAATTTTAAAAATTTTTTCACAGTTAATTTTTACCCAATGGATTAATATTTTGTGTATGTTCATTATATTCACATATATTTACATTTGTTAGGTAGAAATTGGTTAAAAACTGTAGATAAAATAATTAAGATTTACTTAAGGATTAGTTATACATAATTTAGTTTGTCTTTAACAACTACAGCTAAAACACTGCCCTCCTAAATAAGAACAAAGGCAAATTACAGTAAGCCTACTCTCTGCAACTGGTGTATAACTGGAAAACTAAACCATTGCTTTCCTGAATAAGAGTTAGCAAGGTGTGAGAATGGGATAGTGTGTGTCAAGCTACAGCTTGCCCCTACACATCTGTACTCTAACTACATTATTGCTTTGTTCTGCTTTACTAACAAGTATACAATAAACTTTTCTTTCTGACACACTGGCCATCTCCCACCAAGGTAGGGTGACCCGAAAAAGAAGCACTTTCACCATCACTCATTCCATCACCAACTTCCCAGAGGCATGCCAACATTACATCTCAGATTCCCCTCCAAACTACAATATTCCATCCCTCCTTCAGAGTACAGGCACTGCACTCCCCACTTCCAAGACTCAAAGTGCAGCAAATCAATTTCCCTGAATCCTTTCATAAATGATAACCTGCTCACACTCAAACAGTATATCAACTCATAAAAACCTACTTATCTACACTCTCAGTTATCTAACACACTTACATGCCTGTTGGACATCCAAGCCCCTTGCATGCAAAGCCCCCATTACTCCCTCCCTCCAACGTTTCCTAGGATGATCCCTACCCTGTATTCCCTACATTACAGATTTATACACCCCCTTCTCCATCCTATCAAAATATCCAAACCACCTCAACAACTCCTCTTCAGTCCTCTGAATAATCCTTTTAGTAACCCCATACCTCCTCCTAATCTCCAAACAAGGAATTCTCTGCAAGATATTCACACCACACATTGCCCTCAGACATGACATTTCCATGTTTCATACCCATTTATGTGTGTGCTCATACTCTTATACATTTCCCCTTTTTGCTTGCATGGATAACATTCTGTCTCAAACTACCATTTCCCCCCCTCATCTTTCATAAACCCATCTGTCAACAAGGCAACTCTCAAATATTAGAGCTCTATTACTTCCTCCATACTCCCTCCTTCCAATCTGATATCTAACTTTTCATTACCTATTTTTCTTATTACTCTCATCACCTTGCTCTTTCCTATGTATACTTTTAATTTCCTCTTTTTACATACATTCCCATATTCCACGAACTTTTACAAATTTTCTTCAGTATCTCCCCAAGCACATCACTGACAATAAGCAACTGTAACAACTCCCACTTCCTCTCTTCTACATACCAAAACCCATAGCCTCACTGTCCTCATAAAAACTCTTAAATGCTTTAAGCAACCTACCACCTATTACATACACTTATGATATCTGTCACATTATTCCCTATCCACCCTACCATATGCATTTTCAAAATCCATAAATGCAACAAAAGAACTTCCTTACCTTTATCTAAATATTGTTCACGTGTATGCATCAATGGTCTTCACTTTCCCTACCCTCCCTGTCTTACCCTTAATTTGCTCAATTCTTACTATCTCCTTTATCCCCTTTTCATTTATATAATGAACTATTCATGCTCTTTGCCAATCCACAGGTACCTTCCCCTTTCATACAGTTACTAAACCAATGCACCACATGCTTTTAACATTGATCACATCAATCTCAGATGTTTTACCCATTTTCATTCTACCCACAGCCTTGCACACCGCCCCCCATACTCTTACGTGGCTCTTCCTCACTCCTAAAAGATGCTATACCTCCCTGCCCAATATAGCTCCTCTAAATATTCCCTCCATCTCCAAATATAGCTCCTCAAAATATTCCAAATACAGTTCCTCAAAATATTGTCTCCATCTTCCCAATACCTCCAACTCCCAATCTAATAACTTCCCTCTTTTGGTTTTAACTGTTACATCCATTCATTCCCTATGCTTGCTCAACTTAATATCACTCAAAAACTTTTTTTTTTTTTTCAGCAAAATTTAAAACCAAAACCTCACCCACTATCGCCCTTTACACTCCTTTCACCACTCTCTTGACCTCACTTTTACTATCCCCATACTTCGCCCTCCTCATATCACCTCTGCTCTGTGAAAATCTCTTGTATGCTAGCTTTTTCTTCCTTACCACTTTTTTTTTTTTTTAAGATGTCAGCCACTTCCCACCGAGGCAGGGTGACCCAAAAAGAAGAGAAACCCAAAAAGAAAGAAAAAACTTTCATTATTATTCAACACTTTCACCATTACTCATATATAATAACTGTCTTTGCAGATTCACTCACATACAACAGTTTAGACATCCCTCCAAACTGCCAATATCTTAAACGCCCTCCTTCAAAGTGCAGGCACTCTACTTCCCATTGTACTTCCACTCTCTATACCTAATTAGCATTCTACCAATTGCTCCTCTTTCCTCCTGAATCCACCCTCCTATACCCACAAACTTCTGCTGCACATTAACACTGCATTCTTAAATCTACCCCATATCTCTCTGCAACCTCCTCATTACTCAGCTTTCTCCAAACACTTCCTCCTTTAATATATAAATTTTTACTTGTCTCTTAATCACTAATAACAATCTCCTTTTACCCTATCTACCTCTTACTCTCACTGTAGTTACAATTAAATGATCTGATAGATGTAGCCCCTCTAAAATATACACATCCAGAACTCTACCCATCAACATAGTAGGGGTCATCCTAGAAAAGGATGGAGGGAGGGGGTGAAAGAGGTTTTGTGTGCAAGGGGCTTGGACATATAGCAGGCATGTATGAGCATGTTAGATAGGAGTGAATGGAGACGAATGGTTTCAGGGGTTTGATAAGCTGTTGGAGTGAACAGGGTAATATTCTGTGAAGGGATTCAGGGAAACTGGCTAGCTGGACTGAGTCCTCTCACGCCACCACACTACACAACTCACCGTTACTCTTACTCCCTCTCTGCTGTTTTTCTAGAAATTCGTTGTGAATTCTTTGCCAGAGCTGAGTATCCGAGTGCCAGAGGCCACTCGAAGCCACATGGAGCAAGTCACGTGGGTTAACAAGCCAGATCCCAAGCCACATGCTGTGGTCTGCTGCCCACATCACCATACTGCTCGCATCACTCCCTGATGTTACGATGCTGCCCAACGTCACCCAGGACGCTGCTCGACATCACCCAGGACGTCACACTGTACGTCTTCCCGACGTCACCTTGTAACATCACCCATGACGTCTGCCTGAGGTCACCATGCTGTCTGATGTCACCTCACGACGTCACGCCTGACGTCACCTCACGACG